TGACCAGCACATATGCGCGTGTTGTCAGACAAGTGAGTCATGCTCCCAGTTTAGACTTTAGACGTGTGATTTTGCCACACAACTTTGATGAATCAACAGATTGATTCATTGACTTATTAATAGTTTATTACCATTAAACTGTTTACTGAAAGGTTATAGGCTGGGAGATTGGGTGACATTGCAGCTCTCCCCTGTAACCTAAGAGGACCAGTGCTGAGTGGGAGATGGCCCTATGTACAGTATTTCGACTAATTAAAACAAGGATATGTAATCTACATGTGTCACTATGTCATATCTGTGTGGTGACCTGTCTGAAACCCAAGCCTGTGGTAGGATTAAAATGCTTTGCCTGAGAAGACTGTTGGTCAGGTCCAGTCAGGACTGTTTGCCAAGATAAGAAGGGCCCACAGTTCCATGGTATGAGAACAGTGTCTCCTACCTCATTATCACAATATCACTGCATATTCTAGCACGAGCGAGCATACACACATGCACACTGACCTCTGTAGGCCTACGTGCACATACTTAAAAATACACACATACTCATAGATGTGCATATTAAACAGTTAAACCCTCTAACCCAGGACTATACAATTGGTTTAGCATGGGGAAAGTTCTAGGTCCACACATAATGATTTTTTTCATTTTTTCTATCAAAATATTTGCATACACATGTGTAGTCGAGATCTCTACACCTTAAATTTTCCTTACAGTGCATTTGCAAGGCTGTTTGTTCTTATAGTTTGCCCACTATCTGTTATTGCTAACCTCAGTGTATACATTTTGCTTTTTATTGTAGTGTTTTTAATTATTAATCATTTATTAATTTTGCTGTATGTTAAAATGCAAGGGTTCAATTGCACTGCTATGAAAAGCTGACGGACCATTTTATAGAGCAAATGTCATAGAACACCTTTTTGGCCACATCTGAAAACTTTGATATCTTTATCTAATGGGGCAAAACACATTTCTAGGATTTTTACATGAGTAGCAAAGGTGGGCTCATATTTGTCAGCGCAATGCACACAAGACATGTTATGATTCCTTTTGAAGAAGAAAAAAATATAGTTTAAAGGAAATGTTTTCTGTCCTACACTTGTTTCTAACTGAGTTGGACATACTAGCATTAGCTGATTCTGGGAAATTATGACTAGGGATTTTAGAAATGCTGCATTTTTAGACTTCAGGAAATGCTTTGTTTAGTTGGATGGATTTTCTCACTTTCATAGAATATTTTTATGCCGTGAAGTTTAACCACACGGAGCTCTGGTGAGCTGTACTGTAAACACTGCGCACATGTGTAACTGAAGTAATGTTTAGTTGCTTTGCGGCTTGCATTGCTGTCTGCCACAGTGTCTTTTTTTTTCATACCCCCACTAGGAGTCACCAAAGTTAAAAATTGCTATGCTAAGTGCTATGCATATCGGGCCTTAAATAGTAATTGCAAATAACAATAACAAATACCTTACTACCGCAACAACAGCAGCTACCACTAGAATAACCACTGGTGATGCAGTATTAATCCATTTGTCCAACTCCTGTACACACACTTACCATGTTGATTTGTGATGGCTGCCAACTTTGATGCCCTGGCCTTAAATACGTAGTCAAACTGTGCATACATCTTTCTCTGTGTGAAAGTGGCTTAGAAATGAGGAAGACTATAGTTGTGACTTATATCATAGCGCTGCCACTGTGCTTGTTTCGACTCCGCTATTGTGGCAGCTTCACCATGGTGACACTTGAGCTTTAATTCTGCCAATAAAACACTGGGTTGCCATGCAGAATGTAAAGTGGAAATGGCTTCTTACGATTAAACCCAGTGATCTCAGAGAGTGGCCTTGGCATAGCTTTGGTGGAAACATATGGTATAATATCCCATCCCCAGGGACATAAATACATACTCAGTTTAGGCTGCTACAGGACAAAGGCCTCGTCTGCTTTGTCACTGCTGCTTTTTCATGTGTTTAATACCTTGTTTATTCTGAGCAGAGAGCTTGTCAGCTTGGCCACACAGGGCCACAGACAAAGCAGACCTATTCATTTATTCCTGTGTAGTTAGCTTGACAATTATGTGTTTTTAATTTTGGACTTCCGTAGAAATTAAAGATAATTGCTTCATGCATAAGAGTCTTACTTATGGGGAGACTGTGACATGGTAATGGTAGCCACCCACGACTGTGTGTCTGAATGGAGTGTGGTCAAATCCAGAGTCAGACTCAGTGGTCAGACAGAACAATCAAAGCCAACTGACTATCATGCAATGATAGTTAGGATTTAAAAAGCTGCTGGTTTCTTGTTTTTTGTTATCACCCTGTTTCCCAGTACGGGAAAGTGCGGAGAAAACCACAATGCGTGTACTTGATTTATCACAGAATGAGAAACAGGGTCTGTTTGAGCGTGGGAGAGAACTTGATTGAGAACAGAAAATAGCTGATGTTGAAAATGAATGATGGGATCCAGTTTGTTTGTCGGAAGGAGTGTACAGAGGAAGAAAGGTGGACTCTTGCTCCACTTCTGTACATTCAAGATGAGGGGGACGTGTTTGAAGTAACAGCCATGTAGAGACAGGGAAGTGCTCTGGATCCAGGGGCCAAATGATTCCAGATGTCAGAACATGTTCACAAGGTGGAGTCCACTTGTACAGTAGTTGTTTTTCCTTGTTCAAAAGTTCAGTCGCTTCTTTTCATTCCATTTTTCCTGGCTGTCTCCCACTCTTTTCCCTTTTTTTCCTCTTTCGTGTTCTCCCTCTTTGTGTCACTCTCTTGGCAAATAAAAATAAGATTTTTTAACAAGTACGGAATGTCTTAAGGATTTAATGAACCTGTCATAATCCCTTTGAAAGATGGTGCTCTTGAGAAGTATAAGTGATTTTTCATCTTTATTTCACCTCTTTTAGAGAACTTAATTGTCTTGATATGTAGACTGGTCTAGATTTGTGTTTACCCCCACCAAGCCTCACAGAGAGTAATATTAAACCGTGGTATTTCTGAGCTTGATAATTTTATAATAACATTATGTAATGCCATGTAACCCAACCCTCTGGGTACATCTTGTATGTGTGGCTATTGAGCTTTGTGGTCTGACTGGCAGGCAATCAGACAGACCTCACACTGGTACCATCTCTGCAGCCCCAAGAGTTTAGGAGACATTGAAATGGAACTGAAACTGTACAATTTTTCTGCTAATCTAATGCTCATTATGTGTTTCTCCTTTTTTGTGCTGTTCTTGGACTGTCTCTTGCTGGAAATCTCTGGAGGTCTTTCTTTCAGCCTACAGGCAGACTGCAACTCGTCACTCTTTGCTTTACAGTAATAACCCCTAACAGACTGATGACTTGTCATGTCTGTCTGCTTTATTTCTGTCACATGCAGTCACGCTCTTCAAACCCTAACAGGCTACAACTTTAAATGTTATGTGTGCGGTAGCAGCTCTGATCATGGCGATGGTGTTTTCTGCTGCATTATAAATGAGTTGTGCCTTTTACTGGCCAGTGGGGAGTCCCTGTGTGTCACAGACAGCGGTCATATTAGTGCAGCTGTTGAAGAGGACATGGCTGTTGTTATCCTTCTGTCTGTAGGCTGGGAGGGGTTGGACGCATACACAAACACACACACATACTCCTTTGGTAACAATCACTGTGCTAAGATAGATTCGCTATGAGAAAGGTACTCTTTATGAATGAATATGTAAGCGTTACCATCAAGCAAACAGATTTATAAAGACTTAAGCCCAAAGTGCGTGATAAATTACAATTGGTTAGCAGTTAGTACCATATGCAGAATTGTCATATAATGTGGGATTATGCTTAGATTTTTTTCATTTCATGTATGTACTGTGTGTGTGTGTGTGTGTGTGTGTGTACAATGTGGCGGGGGTATGTTGGCACCCTCCTTCTCCTGTCTCAATTTCTGTACAGTTGCTACTGCTCCTTCATGTCCTGGCATGCTTTTAAGCTGACATCACACCCGAGAGGAGAGTGTTGTGTCCAGGACACGCATACACAAACACACACACACACACACACACACACACACATACATGTACAGTCCATACAGTCCCACACAGTTGCATGCAGAAGAGAATATGTAGAGAGTTGCTGAGAAGGAGGACAAGACAGAGGGTTACAAGAATAAGTGAATGAGTATAGTGGAGGGGACGGTGGGACAAAAGGATGTGTTAGGTTGCACGGTGGTGTGTGATGATAAGAAAGAATGGCCATTTTTTTGTTCCTATGTGGTCATTTTCGATCAAATTAATATTTGCATAATTTTGAAGTAGACTCTTATTCCACAATTAACCATTCTCATAGGCAGAGGGGTATGTTGGAGAAATGGGAGAGAAAATGAACTGGGAATAGAGGCAGCTGTTTTTCAAAATTTCATGTATTTTTCCCCCTCCCCCGCTTACCCTGTGTCATTTCTGTCTCTCTACTCTGCAACAGTACCTTGAAGTGGCACTTCATTGGGACTACAGCTTCACTTGCTCACCAGGAACTGACATAAGAACTGGATGACTCAACTGTTTTGTGTGTGTGTGTGTGTGTGTGTGTGCGTGTGTGTGTGCGTTAGGCTGGTAGCACTTCAGACACCCCTGTAAAATCTGGAACATACAGTATTTGCCACAAAAAATGTGAACTTCAGGACGTTGAATCTCTCTCTCTCTCTCTTCCCCCCTCGCTCTCTCTCCCTCTCTCTCTCTAGGCAAAGACAGTCTACTTAAGTCATACTTATTGGTATGAAGAATTCATACACAATGATCCAACTGCATGATAAGGGAAACTTGACACTGGTTTCTCAACCCAACATTTTGAAACACACAAGCCACACTTTTAGGAGAAAGGGTTTGAATATTTGTTTGCATTTTGAATGCCTTACCCACTTCCCGGAGAGCTTCCAGATTATGTCATGGATGATTCCCAATTTTAATGTCATCTAAAATGTCTTCCTTTGTCTTTTCTTCTATTTCTGATGTATATTTATTTTTTGCTCTTCTTGCAGACATGTTCCAGTACCTTCTATCCTTCTCTCAGGGCCACCTTAGCTCTCTGTTGGAGGGAACCTACTCATCCGTGTCTCGCCATGCCCTACCCCATGTTAATCAACTCTTCTCCTCACTCTCCCTCTACCTCCGCGGAGCCAACGTCTCTGTGGAGGTGGCAGTTCACCAATTTTTTAACAACCTCTTCCCACTCGCCTACGCACGGCTCATCAACCCAGGCATTGATGGCAGTATGATGATGGGCGGTGAAATGGGTGACTGTCTTCGTATGATCAGGCAGGACGTCAACCCTTTTGGGCCCCATCCAGCAGTCATGGCCCAAGAGCTGGCTGGGGCGCTGGGAGCCGGGCGGCATCTGGGCCTGGCCCTGGAGGAGGGTCTGGAGGTGATGAATGCCACCGAACACATCAGTCTGAGCAAAGAGTGTGTGAAGGGCCTGGTGAAGATGGTGTACTGCTCCCACTGCAGAGGTTTGACCCTGATCAAGCCCTGCGTGGGCTACTGTCTGAATGTAATGCGAGGCTGCTTGGCCAGTGTGTCAGAGCTGGATCAGCCTTGGAGGAGGTATACCAGCTTGTTGGAGCAACTAACCCACGCCATGGCTGGGCACCACAGCCTGGAACTAGCCCTTCTGGGGGTTAGGGGGCACGTTAATGAGGCCTTGCTCTATGCGCAGCTCCATGGTCCACTCATCACTGCCACGGTGAGTACATACTAGATTTAGCTTTAATGGCACTCGCAAAAAGCCTCCAAACCTTTTTGTTTAACATCTTTGTTTTATTCATATACCTTGGCTATGGTCAGTGTTTTGATTGGAAAGATTTTGCAGGCTGCTTGTGGGTTATGGTTTTACAACAATGCAACAAAGAGCCCTGCACACTAAATTAATATTTGCACAGTGTTGAAAAACTATTCATAGAAAACAAAAGGTTCAGTCAGTCTCCTCCAAAGAAATGCAGGCTGAGCTGAGGCTAGAGAGGGAATAATTTTCCAAAATGGCAAGACAGCTAAAAATCATTATTGTTGTTTAGGTTCTGACTGTAGGGGGGCTATTATAAATTCCTCATTGACTATGATGAAAATGAGAAAAGTCATGGCTGAAATGGGGATTTGGTGCTCTTGCATCCCATGAGTACTACCATATGCCTTATGTTAAATGCGGTTTTAAGTCAGATGTTCACAACATGAAGACAGTTTCATGAACGACTGCCAGACAGGTTACTGAATTTAGAATTTGCGATTGTGTTTAATTTTTTATATTAAAACATTGTACCGTGGCTGAAAATGTTAATAGTCCTCATCTTACACACATCCCTGCATTCAAAGTAACATATCTACGATGTGCTGTCGCGGTGAAGTAATTTCCCCCACGGTAATTTGTTGGGGCTATGCGGTATTATTGCCATTTTTGATCAATGAGTCATTTAGTGCCATACAGCATATTAAATGTGTCTGTGAATCTCTTACAGCAACACTTACAGCTTCCAAGTTTTAAGTCGGGTTGCGTACAGCCCATGGTGATCTATCCTTGAACCATTACAGAGCTCCTTAGATTTGTGGAATTTTTGAAGCACTAATTTATTAATTTAACACGCACTGAAGTGTAAAGTTTGAACATTGTTGTGGTGCTTGCCATCCTCCTTGGTAGGCTTGGCCAGTAGCGCGATATTTCAATTTTGTAGTTGTCACGACAGCCCTAGATGCGATACTGGGTAGTATTTCTGTTTGCATGTCTGTAATTTATTTGATCTAAAAGATTTGTCAGTAAACACAGTGCACTGCGATCTTTATATTCATAGTACCTTATTTTTACCAAAACCAAATGGTGGAGGCGTGCATGCAGGTCATGTGACTCATACACAGCAGAAGGTGATTGGCCAAAGATTTTTGTAGATCATCGAGAAGAATGGGACTAAATTCTCACTGGCATCTCTGTCTCTCCTCTAAATGTCAGCCATGGTTGTCGGTGCAGTGCATGTGTATACACTGTTTTTTTAAATAATAAAATCAATCTATAGGAGCACTTATAAACGTGTGTCTCCCAGGACATGAGCTGGATAGTTCTGGACATCATGCTTCCACTACCTCTAGTGGCCCCCTTTACTGTGTAGGTGCCGGGACTTCCCCTGACTTGTGTGAATAATACTTGTGTTATTTCTTTTTATTCTCCCAGTCTGTGTCTCTTTTATCCTTATCCCCACCTCTCCCCAAACTCATTAGTTGGCCATGACAGGTAACAGATATGAGTTTTTATGATTCACATCCTGTCAACACCTTGAGTTACTCACAATAGCTTTCAATGATATGGACTGTGTTGAAAATGGGAAGGGAAGAACAATGCTTCAAATATTGACAGGGTCATGTAGGGTGCAGTTGTTCTCTAATATATTTAATGGGACCACTTGCAGTCTACGCTGGAACTGTTCCAATAACTGGACTGGAAATGTAAGACGACACTATAGAAGCCATAACATGCAAGCTGTTAGTGGATTAAATTAGCTATTTTGTCATGTATAGTTCAGATCTCTAGTGAACGCAATCAGACTCTCTAGTGAACGCACAAAAACAAACAAAGAAGTAGTAGTACCCCCCGAAAAATGTCAAAGTAGCTAATAATAACTGGCGATTACTAACTGTATTGTAATTACTGAATTTCAAGTTGTAATTAATAATACAACAAAAATACTTACATAAGTAAGTATAGTACTGTAGTGTGCTATAATGCTTGTCTGCCTTACACTGTGCATTAATGCTAGGCATCTACCAAAACATACCGTATCTTAGTTTCTGAAGTATTTTACAGAATTCAATATTTTTCAGAATAAAATATTCAGGTTATACTTTCTCTGTAAAAGTGTGTTGTCGGCTAAAATGCCTTCAGAACCTATGGCCATTTGATACTGGTTGTAATTTGTTTTATGTTCTCTCCTGGGAGAGTTCCTCACTTCATTACTTTGTGAAGACAGATTACAATGTTGTGCCATTACTATTATTATTGTTGGTCCTTTGGGTTTAGTTTCCTGACAACATACCTTGTGACGGCAAGCCAAATCTCAAGTCTTCAGATTCTGATATCTCATTCTGAATTTCCTGCATACAAATGCAGTGATCAGCATGCAACAATGAAGTAAGTTTGGCAAAGAATATTTATGACAAGGTATCCTTTGTGACATACCGTCTTTGTCAAGCAAGTTTAAATTCTCCCTGCAAGTAAAGTTTCATAGTGTACTAGGATAAACATAACGAATGTCTGCCTGGAAGGTGGAAAAACACATTTAACATGTATAGCAATTCTAGTGAAAAATGGTTGGCAGTAACATAAAATGGAAGTAATTTGTAGTTAATGGGCTTAAACATGTGAAACCACTGGTGTGGTCTCTTTCAAGTTGGGAGCATCACAGAGCCTAAAGAATTCTACATTAAACACTCATTAAAAACAGACATCGAAATGCGTAGACACTTACTGTATGCACACATGCACACGTAGACAGAGGAGGGTTGGTTGCCAGGCTTAGAGACTGGCCTAATACAACTATGCAGAGAGAAACCCAGCCTGTATTTTGGGTGTGTATTTACGTGTGTGTGTGTGTATGCCTGCTTGGTATTCATGGGGTGGCAGGCAAGGGAGTCCAGCACGGGGACAAGTGGGACAGGATTGAAAGGGTTCCAGCTAGGCCATACAAACTAGACCCAGCCAGCTGCGGGGAGGTGGGGGGGGGGCAAAAGAATTGTTGCTGATAAAGGAGGTGGACCCCAGCCGGACACTGGTGGCTCCCATTTTCTGCGCTCTCTTTGATTCACGTGGGCATTCACCCAGGCTAGAGAGCAAACATGATCAGCTAAGTCTACTGACTCACTTAAGCACGCAGACACACACAGACTTACCTACACACAGAATAACACAGTTCTATTACCATGTATTATCTAGAACCTGGGCCTTTTTAAATGTGTGTTTTTATAAAGCCACAGTGGCCTGTCAAGAAAAACTGTTAAGTCACAAGTGCACAACTACTGTGTCAGCATAGCCACCTTCACCCCTACACCTCTATATACCCCATTCCCAGACAAACACCCAATTTTAAACACCCATTTTCTTAATTTCTTATATATTATCCTTACTATCTTACTGCAGAGCAAATAAAGTACCTTGCTTGACCTTCTGTTGATTTTAAGTTATGCTGTATATATGAAGTCAAGCACAAAGAAGTAACTCTTGTTTTTTGCCGAGTCAGAATATTATATGGAGTTATTATTAAAGGAATTATTGTGACTGTGTGGTTTTACACTGGGATGTTATCCCAAAACCATTTTGTGGTCGCTCTCTCTCTCACTTAGAGAGCTGCAGACTTCTCAGAGTCTGCACTATATGTTGCAGTACGTCATAGGGTAGGACCTGGGTCATAACACATATACTGTACATACGCACACACATCCCCATGGCATGTGCAGGTATCAGGTTTTAAGAAGTCCTGTAAGGAGCCTAGATGTGCGGCCCACCCTGTGACAATACTAGTAGCGCACGTGAGACTGAAAGGCAGCCATTGATAGTTATGTGTGGCAGCAGAAGGATAGGTTCTGTTCTTACACATTCCTGCTCTTATTGAGATGGAGCGTGAACGAGGGTCAAAGGGAAGTGGTTATGGTTATGGATATTGGGGGAGCCTTGGGCTGGATTATGTCGAGTAGGCACAGTTAGGAGAGAATTGGAAAATATCCAGTAAAAGTGGCTACTCTTATTGGGCCCCAGTGGAAATGGTAGCTCCAATTTTTTGTGAGGTTTTCTTGTTCTGAATGCTGCCCTGTTGAATTCATCTTATACCTTAATTCCACTGGGTACGGCTCAATAATGACTCATCTGTGACGTGATTTTATTCCATCCTCTGTACGGCTTCATACCTCGCAAGGAGTGTTTCAGAAACGTTTTTTGTCTTTTATTGACTTGCTCAGATTTAGTTGATTTGATTATTTTCCCTTGATTTTTGTGCTCCTACAATGCATGAGTTGGCTACATATTTAAGATGTTTAGATCTGTTTCAATTGTATTTATTGTTGATATATAATTGCGAGTCGGTCGAGTGTTTATTTTGAAAATTGACGTATTCTCTACACCGTTTCTGTGTCTGACTTTCTGCCCACTTTGATCTGCTCTGTGCTGCTTGACGCGGCTTCCATCAAAAATAGACTAGCCATTTATTCTCGGCTGAGTAAAGTGAAGAGCCACTTCTGAAGAATGTCTGCAATCAGCTCTAGTTTCTGCTTCACAGCCACAATGGGACAGCCATCCCCGGTGGAATCCAGGCTTTAGAGTTTCTCCATCCAGACTGTGCTTGAGAGGCCACAAAACTGCTGTTTAATCACATGACCATAAAAATTATATAGATTATAGGACCTAGCGATGAACTTTATATATTGCACTTGCTGAAGATGAGTAGACTTAGCAAGAATTCATGTAAGCATGTATTCACTCACAACTTCACTCCTTTACTTACTCACTCACTGAGAGCTTTACAGTCTGTTTATGAGAAAATAGTACCAGTCAAGATTAGAGCAGTTTATATGCAGGTCTACCTTATCCGCTTGTTGGTTTTACCCCAGCTTCTCATTACAGTCTTATGGAGGAATGATAATAGCAGCCTGGGCCTTTAGATAATGGAAACAAGGGCCAGTGGGATGAATGGAAGGTTTCCATTCACCACGGCGGCA